ATTCTGACTCAATCGTATGGCTAAGCGCCTTTTTGAGGTAGCAGGACTGCTCAGTTTATCATAATATAACGATCAGTAATCGTGCGTTAAGAAGACAAACTGACAAAATGCCTTATACTACTTGTTCAATTAGAGCTGCTTCCAATGAAAACTCATAATTTCAGCGAGTTAGAAACTCGTAGCTTTGACAGTACTACCCGCATCCCCCCCCCCCCCCCACATTTCCTTTGGACCCTATTGGAAAGCTTTAGCAAAATTTGAATTTTTTTACTTCTCCAAAATCGTGCGGAGTCATGCATGACTACATTCGGATTGATATTTTGTGGCTGTCTGGTTGTTTTGTCTCTCAACAAAAAGTTTTTCTTCCGGCTATAAAATTTAGATGGTTTTTTCTGTAAATCTGTCTGGATGTAAACCTATTTGTGTGTTTTGTTTGTCTGCCTGACTTTCTCTTCTTTCTTTAAGTCTTATTTCACAACTACGTGTTCTGCATTACGGCCTATAAACTGCGTTTTGCTCAACGTCACAAAAAATATCTGCGACGCACACTGGACTGTCGCCTCTTCTACTCTACTATACCGTCCCGACACATCTTCTGTAGAACGCCATTTATTCGTTCTTTGGATTTTAATTTCTTCTCGCTGTGGTCTCATTGGCTGAAATGCAAGCAGCTTCCACAGTGGTAGTTCATTTTCCAAGACAAACTGGATATGAACGACCGTTTGTGATTGCGACTGTTGCTCTCTCTTCTCTCAAAGCAAGCCCATAATGTGTGGATCTTATGAGGGTGATGAAATTCTAGCGTTTTACTGCGTGGTTGAACTATAATACGCGTAAGAATCTATATGAAACAAATCTCAAATCATCAAGTGAAGTTTTCTGTGTCGATGGTGCTAGGATTGTTCCGCGGGTACCTAACTAAGCTTAAAGTTGAAGTACCCTCAGTTCGACCAAACAAATTTGCAGTACAAAAAAACCCTATTGTGCTACAGATAATATCATACATTATGGAAATTATGACAGTGTTCAAGTAGGATAATCCCACTAGAATGGTAATGATGAGCAATGAGCAGTTCAAGACTGCAATCAGAGAACGCATGACTGAAAACGGCAAAAGCACCTCAAACCAAAGTGTGAAGCCTGTCGGATCGGGGATTGTTCAACAAGCTGACACGAGTATGAATCCGTTGCAAGTTTTTTATGGTGAGGTTAGGGTAGATATACTGTATGGACTAAAAAAATCGTCTAAAGAAGCATTTGCATGACCGTATCCGTATTTGCATCGTGACGCATCCACGTTTCTGCTTGGCAACCTGCACTTTGTGTTCGGCGTGTTTGTGCCCAAATAAAAAGTTTACCAAAGCTTTTACGAGGGGCAACGCGTTCTTTGTGCATAGAACATGAAGGCGAAAATAAACAAGTGTGAGACAACAATGATCGTAAACAATTTTTCATGAAGACAGGCTATCGGCACTTTGACGCTGGTACTATTAGGTCTAGGTCGTATCTATCATATGTTCGTGAGGTTTTCATTGGAGTAGTCGTTTTTTGATGAAGCGGTTGTTTTGCGGCAATGTACCTGTACCATTCAAAAGGACTAATTTTGCCCTACAAGAACTGTTGTTCGTTTTTGTAGCAAACTTAGATCCCCTTGCTTTATGGCTTCTCAAAGCAAAGTTTTTTGAGAGGCAAAAATTAACGATTTCGACAACTGCACTTTCCGTATTTGGTCCGTTCTCAAAATGTTATCCTCATATGTGGGCGGAAGGCTGATAGCAAGCAAGATTGATATACTGACAAGTTTGCAGCACGCCAATATGATAAAAAACTGTATAAAGAAGGTCTCAGTAGTTGCTGTCTTTGACTGCTACCGCTTGACATTTACGCGCTGTTTAGCGACAGAATGTGTCGGTCCTCCTATCGGGCCTTGACAAGTGGATGTTCTTCTAAGTGGTGTAGATGTATGAGTACAAGCTCGGGCCAACATTTTACGCTTTCTCAAAAAAATTTTGGAGTGGAGACTTCTCTGAATTGTACCAAACGCAAAACTTCTGCACACATAGTAGAAGTGCGCTTTATCCTTCTCTATAGCGTCTTTTTGAATAAGGAGACTGCTTTTATATGCACCGTAGTCCCATAAACAGCTGTTGTTCATCACTTATAACAATCAGATAAAAAATCCCACTTGGGATTCCGTATATGGATCGAAAGTTGCAGGTGCCGAAATCGCCAAGTTTTGCCTCTCAAAAAATTTTGCTCTAAAAAGTCGTCAAAAAAGGGGATTTAGGTTTGCTCCGAAAACGAAGAACAGTTCTTGTAAAGCAAGATCGGCTCATTTGAATAGAACAGGTACTTTGCCGTAAACCAACTGATTCATCAAAAAATGGCTACCAAAGTAAAATCTTTACGAACTTATGAAACGTCCTAATACATAGTTTTAGAATAGCAGTTGACGTATATGGTGGCTCTTGCGGCGTTGTCGACACTACTTGCATAAAGTATGGCCAGGGCCTGGCACACGTTTTTCAAAACAGACTGGACTTGTTTTCGGGCGAAAAAGCAAAGGGCATATCGTTTTTATGGGTCCGAGAAAACAGAAGTTAGGTTGGGCTTCTTTTACCCGAGTTCCCGAATAGTCAACTTCAGCTTTTACGAAGACGACCTAGCAGAGCATAAGTCTTGAGTCTTGATTCTGGAAGTCTTGAAACTTCACAATGGACATTGGTATTTGACCGTTGTAAGTCCGAAATAAATCCAATGAATGATGCTAACTTATTAAACGTATTGAGGCAAACTTTTACGTGATTTTGCTGTCGCGCTCGTGATCTGTAGGTGATCTGTGTAAATGACCAACAAGGTGCATCCTCCCACTTCTGGGACATCTCAGCAAAATGGGAAAAATACGAGCTCAACAAGGTACCGCCCATGTTATGATATGTAGATAATAGATATCATAGATGTTGATATGCTCATATAAATTAGATTTTGAAGATCTCCTGCTTCATCTGCAAAGCTAACAAAAAGCTTTGCCCTCAAACAAAGTATCTCCTCTCGTAGCACTAACAGTAAGGCCCAAAAGATTACCGATAAGTTTTGGCTTAGCATATTGACTTTGCTTATTGGAGCATGGCGGCACTTTGCACTCGAAAAAATTTCTTTCGGATAACCTGAATTTTTGATCTTTTTCTAAAATTTAATTCGATTAAGTGTGAAAACAAATCACTTTCGCATTTTGAAGCGCATGTAGTCAACTTTCGAAAATCTCACGACCCATTCGGGGGGGGGGGGGGGGATTGCGATTCTTGCGGCACTGCACATGATCTGTGCAAGCAAAATGCTTCCTCTTATCACTGGAAAAGATTTGCGCCCATTTGCCGATTGTCTGATGAAGCGGAAGATATCGCTGTTGAATAGTTGGAGACGATTTGTCAATGTTGAATCATCCACAACTCCATTGACATCAAAGACGCTATTTCATCGCTACATTTATATGATGATATCATCGCTTTCGCAATACTCAGGGAAATCACTTCGCATTCTTTTCCTCATAAAATATGTTTACGACAGAGCACAAACCTTAGTGAGGGCAGGCACGCTGCAAAAAAGTTCAATCAATGCAGAAGATGATCGTGCTTGGCAAATGCTGGAAAGAATGCAGTCATTAGATAAATTGTTCTCAGATTAACTTTCTCTAGGGAATGAAAGTGACAAGCAATGTTTCTGACTCATATAGATTGTAAGCAAATTCTTGTGGTGGTATCTGCACTCGGACAATAAATTTTGATGTTTGGCGACCTATGGAGTTCCTGGAATAACTTCTTGAAAGTAGTTCCAGTCTGTATTAGGACTTTCTGTGAATGTCTGATTATACTCGTTACTACTGATATACTCGTTTTGTAGATTTTTAGTTAGGTTTTTACGCAAGTATGCAGATCTCCCGAAATTTCGCGCGACTCAGAATTACTCATTGTATTGTCTGAAGGCCAGTTTTCATTGGATGTACAAATTATAGTCCAAAATGATGTCGCACTGTCATGGTGGAATGCCACTTCTGCTTAAAAATCCGTGTGAGGAGCAAACGGTAGTGATTCATCTCTAGACTCTACGAAAATGTGACCTCATTCCAAAATTTTCGTCTCTTTGCAGCACGTGCATTCCGATTTTTCTGCTTGGAACGTTTCCCTGTAGTTGCTATCTGTATATCAGTACTCTCTCATTTTATTCCCTTTAGCTGCTTTTCCAAACATTACCTTAACTTATTTTTACTCCGAACACCTGTTTATGTCATGTGATATCACCTACCTGCAATCTGTTTTCGCAAGCTCAAGTCATCCCCTTAGCTACTCACTATCACATCAGACTGTTACTTCTCCAGTCAATCCGGCAAGAAACGTCATTGACTGAATGTTTTGGCAGCATGAACAACATTGCAAAAGATGAATTGCAAAAGATCACATTCCCACATTTCGATTGTTTTGACAGTAAAACGCGCGACAAACATGCGTGGTATGCAAAACTCTTATTCGTCGACTGTTCGATAAATGAAAATTCATTAAATAACGGGTGAGATATTATAGGTTCTGTAAGCCAATAATTACTGCTTTCCTTCGGTAAGCCGATATTTTGTGCCATCTTATTGGAAGTTCTTCAAGTCAGGATCTTGATTTGCTATTCTGATCTGCAGATGCAAACTATATGCATTTACTAATAAACCAGTGATACTCTAAGACGAACTCGATCTACATCCATGTGATGCATTGCCTTCTTAGGTTTCCTCATATCAAAAACTGTTCGCCTCGTTTGCACCATCGAATTTTCTCTTGCTTTCCTCTCCTACTCTTCCAGCTGTTTTATTTTGACACTGCAGCACAAACTCGCTGCCTCTGTTTTAACATGTTGAGTTCGCTCTGATGTCGCTTCCTAAAAATTCGAAACTGCATTCTTCTGCCGAGATTTCTTTGGAAATTTTGACGTACTCCATTAACTCCATTACGTATCCTAGGTAACCGGGACTATTTATGAAGCGAGCTTGATGTACAAGATTTATTGACACTGACACTGGAGACTAAATGTTACTCACGTCACTTCGAAGTCTGTTTTGCGATCAAAATTCGGACAGGGTAAGTCGAAGTAACACTCGCATCTTTGCAAAAAATAAAAACCAAAAGTGCAAAGGAAAAGATGATAAAATCATCGCAAAGGCAAAACTTAGTTCACAGCGGATCGGAATGGTGAACAAGGAATATAGCGAGTAGGGTATCATCTGATAGAAAAGCAAACTCTGCAAGATGTGCTAAAAATGTCCGTGGGATTTCTTGTTTCACATAAAGTTCGAAACCGAGATATTAGGTTGATGCACAATTCTTGCATCAAAAAATTGAAAGAAATCATCCTAAAAATGCTCAAACAAACTGATCAATTTATACAATACGCTCTTTGTTATGTATATCGAAAGTAGTGTTTATATTACATATCAGAAAATCAATTTGAAACAAGATCAATAAGTCGAAATAAAAAAATCGAAATTTACAACTATGAGACATCCAGTCACTACCAACTTCTTTTTAATCATAAAGAGTAGGTCATAAAACTAGAACCAAGATTAAATTTGAATTTCAATAGACGTTCTAGCTATTTAGCGACCAAAATGTGAAAAGCCACGCTTGGGTCTCTTGACCGGCGTTACCATATGCCATCAAGAATTTTACAAGCAGTTTCGGAAAGCGCGAGACTTCTTCCCTCTATAATGCATCAAATCAGAAGATTATATTGAAATGAAGAAAGTGAGGGAATTTCAAAAATTTTGGTGCAAGAATCATGCATCAATCAGCATAAGAAATTTCACATACCCAAAGCGCATGTCTCCTTTTATAAGATTCAATGTTCAAGCGTTTATTCTCTACATCAAGCATGCATGAGTTGGTGGAATTATCCCATGGCTAGAATACGAGAAACAAAAAGAGTTCAAGTAAGAATATGGTGCGTTTTTCGGTTCTTCTGTACTAAATTTTGATAATTTATGAGAACTAGCGATTCTAGAAAGCTAAGATCACTACGTAATATGTTCTGGAATCGTTGTTTACCACTTGGCTACCCCTGATCCGTGGAACATGGCAAACGAGGAGGCAGCAGACGGAGAAATTATGGTGAAATACCCTGATCTTTGACTTTGGATTGCTGCCAAGTGGCATGCGTTTTGGAACGCTGCCAAATTACAAAACGAGTGACCAGCATATTTTCGTAAAAGGGTCACACGTAATTCGAAAGGCAATCATGAGTGTCGCAATGTTTCTGAGAATGGGTCGCCAGTGTCCGGGTGTGTTATTTGTGCCTGCTTTTTTTTCGAGCGTTATCCCAGAATGTGTCTTTCAAATATGTTGTACTCCTATTAGTTGCTTTTGAAATGATGCCAAATTGCGCATCAGCGTGACTTGAGCTAAATTCATCTTTGTTCTCAACTCTTGGTAAAAATGCTCTGACTAAGAATAGTCACTTTAGGATTATCTTGCTTCCGCGTGTAGACAAGAGAGTGCGTGAGTAACTTGGCCTCGCTGGTACTTTTGAAAGCGTTTATCTAACAACAGCCTTGCTTTGCTTGTGTAAGTGGGTCCCGCTGGTGCTTTCAACTAGGTATCGGTGTGTAAGCGGCACGTAGGGCAATTCAATCGGGCAGGGAAACAGATTTTTGTGCGTTTGGGGCAGTTCTCAGAATTGAAAGTCCTAAAGTGACATGTACGGCAATTTGAGAATACGCTGTAAATACTTAAATTCGTTGTTTCCTTTTTGTTTGAGTCGTAGTTGGTTCTTCTTATATATACGGTCTTCAAGCGGCACATAGGGCATAAATTTCCTTTTGAATAGTTACTATCGGTCTGTAAGCGGCAAGTAGGGTAACTCGATCGGACAGGGAAATAGATTTTTGTACGTTTAGGGCAGTTCTTATAATTTTTAAAGTCTTCAAGCGGCACGTAGGGCATGAACTGTCTTCCAGATAGATACTTTTGGTTTCTTCAAGCGGCACGTAGGGCAATTTGATCGGACAGGGAAACAAATTTTTTGTATGTTGATTGACGGTTTTTAGGTGGTGCTTTTCGGGGAGGGATCTCCTTTTGTAGTAAAACTTCATATTCCTTTGGCGAAAAAATTGAAGGATTCTCTTAAAAATTTTACACGATTGATTTCGTTGCTGTCGGAATTGATTCTGAGAGAAAAAAGTTTTTCGTAGTGCGCATAGTTGTTATGGGTGTATTTCTACTTTCAGAACTATAGGTGTTCTGCTACTTACTTGACGATCTTCTATGGAACTTGTCGAGAAGAACTGGAAGAGCAAATTCTCTTTGAGAGGGTAGAATAGTGGGGGGAGGGGTATCTGAATGTCTCTGAGAGGAGGGGAAATTTGCAGAAAGAGCGTGGTAAACGAGAGGAAAATAATATTCCCCATGCATCGTTGTAGCAGGAATTTCGAGAAATGCTGAATGATTTGTGGAGATTATCGCTTCTTCGAGCAGTTCTCCTTTTGTAGAATGCTTTTCGCAAAAATGTTCTCAGTAAAGGAATAGGAAACTTAAGAAGTATTTATAGTCACAACTAAGCCCTTATATTGTATCTGCCCCGACCCACTTGCTAGCGACCCTTGCTAGTCCATTATCTAAATTTCAAAAGTTCACGCTATAAATTCAGCTATTTTGGAAAAGCTCATGTTTTGAGAGGAACTGCCTTTCGTTTTCTCGATTTCTTGTATTAGAGAAACGTATGACTGTGCATAAGAGTGGAGCGTGTTAATGGTGGGGGTCTCTAGTATACTTTGGGAAATTCGAAAATTCTTTCGAATATTCGAGTATCGAATAGTATTCGGAAATTGAAAATTTCGAATATTCGACTATCTGTTCGATTTTCGGATATTATTCCAATAATTTGAATGTACAATTTATGGTTAAAAAATCCTAAACGGTATTGCTGAAAATGGAAATTTGAAGAAGATCATTGTTTCAAATCGTGGCTTCATGAGCAATGAAATCAGGCAAATACTGCGGCACAGAAGTACGAAAAGAAAGCTGTCTTGCACACATACTATTCAGATTAGCGCACGGGGCCATTCAAACATATATACTCTTGTTGAGTGTTGTGAATATACAGGGGGTCCCAAAACTATGAAGAACTAGTCAATCATAACTGTGCCACAAAGTCTTTTACCAAACTTTGAGTGCATTCTTTAGTGCTGTCTTCCTTAGATCTAACCTTTGATTCAACTGGCTTGGCTTCGGGAAGGCGGAGCTTTGCGACATGATTAAGGCCGCTCGCGCCCGCGACGCACCTGCGTCTCTCTCGCACTGGTGCTCTCTGACCACTAGCTAGCCTTAATTAGGTCACGGAGCCCGCCTTCTCGAAGCCGAGCCAGTTGAATCAAATGGTACTATGGAGCGACCTGCCGATCGCTATTCAGTGTTATAAGGTTACCTTAGGACTGACCGTAGGGGTTTTCAAACGATGAGGTCCTGTTATGCCTGTTTTGTCAATTATGCCTTTTTCGTAAGTCGTGCCAGTAAAACGTAACAAATGTTTCCAATGTTTCTAACTTTCTCAAAAACGTGATAAATGTTTTGGAAAAGCTTTCAAGCGGCATGTATCGCCGTGGCTCTGTATGCTGAAAGTTCCTACCGTAATCCCACGATAATAAGATGCTGTTTCTTGCTGTAGATGTAAGTTGAAGCTAGCCCTGCAGAAACTCAAAGGTTGGCAAAAGCTTTCGTAAACGAGATACTAGGGATCAAGCAGTGTGTAGATAATTTTACGACCCTGTACATGCTATGGATTGCCATGGATATTGCATTTTCCTTGATTCGATGAGCATCGCATTTTCCGGCATTTTTTCGCATCTTATCGTATTTTCGAATATTTGCTCATCGAGTATTCGAATATTGATGAACATCGAATGATCGAATTGGTGACTATCGAATAATATTCGAAATCTCAAATTTTCGAATATTCGAATTTTCGAATCATTCGCATTTGAATGATTCATTCGAATAATCGAATAATCATTCGATTCGGTCCTCAGTATATGTAGTCTCCAGGCTTTCAGCGTTGCAGCACAGAACGGGACTGTCTTTGTAAACGGTCAGCTGTTTCTTATGTATTCTCCCTGACACAAATAAAGTCAACCAATCGAAGCCACATTATTGTGTTTTCTTCGGAGGTTGGGTGATGCTGACCACGTCAAAAACTCAATCATTTGCAAAAACGAGCGTGGAACAGATTAATAAAAGTTGTTTACGTTAGAAAAACAAGCTTTCGACTTATTATGTGTATATCTACGAGAATACTTTGCACCCGTCATAGTTTCAGATATTCGAGGGAAACTGGAGAAATACCAGCGCACTGTCAATACCCCATATAACGGAATGTTCCCAACATGTCGACCTTTCCTGGTTGCCAGCGATCTTCCTTATCATATTTTGCCCACTTACTCTGTATGATCTCTACCGTAGTGAACATCCTCGCGCCAGCTGTCACTCGCCAGTCACATATAGAATTGTAAGCAAAACTAGTTCAGTTTGAATAATACTGCTAACGATATCCAGGTTGACGTTTAGTTGATTTGCGTTATTCTTGTCATCGATCTCTCTTGCTCGTTTTTTCACAATGCCTACAGTTATTTCATTCTGGAAAAGAGCTCTACACTACACTATCTGGCCGGAGACTGTGCACAATACATAGGTTGGTGACATGTTCTTTACTGCTGTCCATCTATATCTCAGCCTACTCAAGCAGCATTCAGGCCTCTGCCTGGCTCTGACTCTGCTGATTGCATGCAGAAACCGTGGCATTGTCACTTCTGGGGTGTTGTTCAACTACTGGTTACTAATGGTTCTATGCGGGTTTCCTGAGCTTCGATATCTTTTAGAACACCATTTCACTGTACGATCTTGCGAAGGTGTTTGTGAGAGCAGATCTGCTCAAGCAGTGCTTTACAGAATCGGGAAGAAGACAGCTTTCACTTTTTTCTCTACATGATCTATTATCCCCTGATATGCCTAGAGCTGATACTTTCATGTTTCGCCGACACGCCTTCTGGAGCTTTCATTGGAGTAATTTCAACCTTCAGTATTATTTGTGCCGTGAAATAGGTTCAATTCCAGAAGCAAGTATGCCCTGAGTTGTCAACCTCATTTTTGAATCAAATAACATTCAACTGGTTCACTGGCTTAGCTGTGAAAGGCTACAAAAAACCGCTGGAAAGGGATGATCTATGGGGTTTGAACGAGCGAGATGCCTCCACCACACTCATTCCTCAATTTGACGAATACTTCAAGCCCGAGCTGAAAAGTCAGTTATCCAAAAGGACTAAAAATTTCTTGGAGTAAGATATTCCTTACAGAGTGCCAGGAGGAGCGCAAGCAAAAACACGGTACCTTGAGTGCATCAAAGTGTCAACCATCCGTTCTCATGCCTCTCTTCAAGACCTATAAATTTTCCTTCATTTGTGGTGCGCTTCTCAAACTAGTTTTTGATCTTCTCACATTCGTTGCTCCAGCCTTGCTCAAGCAACTAATTAGCTTTATACAGGTAATCATGTTCTTACAAGGGGAGGACCCGAAGTCGAAAACGGCTTTCCAGATGAAATACTAGGTTGTCCTAAAGTAAACTCAATTTCCAAATAGTTGATTTGTTTTTGTTTTTCTAACAGACTTAGGATATTATTCGATAGAGCGGAACAAGTCCTTCAAAATGACCACCAAAGATCCACCCAAGTCGTAATCCGTAAAAGGTAAAACGTGGAGCCAAAAGTCAAGGTATTGCTCGTTTGTAAAAGCACATACAAGGGTAAAGTTATGAGATTATATTTATTAAGGTTTGTGTATATTATACTTTGCAATGACATTCGAAAGGGGCTATGGGCGAGTTTGCATTTTTGGACTGTCTTTTTTTCTCACTTTCTATGCGTGGAAAAATTTACGTACTGCTGTCTCTACTGCATAATGACCGTCCGGAGCTCTGTAGGAATTTCTATCGCAAAAGTCCAATTTTCAGGTGATGAAATGTCTCTCGATTTTAGCTTCAAACTTGACAAGGCGATTTAATCGGATCTGTGGTGGTCGTTTTGGAAAGCCTCATCTGCTTTATCGGATGTTACCCCAAGTTTGCTAGGAAAATAAAAACAGCTGATCATTTAGTAAAGGATCTCACTTCTGGGACAGCCTAATATACCCTAAAATCCGTACAATAAGTCCGCCTATCAGATAAGTCCGCCTTATCAGATAAGTCCGCAGAAGAACTATCAGTTAAGTCCGCTTTCGTGACAACGAAAGTCGCCAAGAATCCTGCAGATAAGTCCGCTTTCTCATGCTCAGGATAGGCAGACTTACCTGCTGCGGACTTATCTGATAGTGGATTTAGGAGGACTTATCTGGTAGACTTTTGGCGGCGCAGAGGGCGTTTTTTCATCGATTTTTCGCGTCGAAACTGCAGATAAGTCCGGACTTATTGTACGGATTTTAGGGTATACCAATCTGAAGAGTACCAATCACTGATTCCAGCTGTCTTTTGTGTCTGCCAGGTCCTGTCATGAAAGTTTTCTGGCTCTACAAATGAACGCGCAACTGAATTAAATTCGTCCTAGATCGCGCGAATGGTCCAGTGTTGGATATATCAGAGCATTCTATGCCTGAGGAACTTTTCTTTAATATACTCGTACTCAACGTTCCTTATTCGAGCGCTGGAAAGACCATAATCATTAGTCTTACTAGGTTTTGCTGTCACTTTTCACTCAAAAAACGCTCATACTAAGCGTCTAGAGGCGCTCGGCAAAAAACAAAGATACTACTTTTGAGATCAGCGTTTGATGCTCTTCAGATCGTTTGTCGTTTGTTTCATTTAGAATGTCGATTTCAACTTTGGGTCCTCCCCTAGTTAGAAAATATTCAATGTCTATTCGTTTCCATTACAGGACCGCAGGCAACCGTTATGGGTGGGAATCACTATCGCCAGTTTCATGTTCTTTGTAGCTGTGCTTCAGTCCATGATTCTTCACCAGTATTTTCATCTTATGTTCCGATTGGGTATGAACATACGATCAGTATTAACCAGTGCTGTGTACTCCAAGGCGAGTACGCTCCCTTATGATTTATTCTGCGCTATTTTCACACATATTTTGGGTTTGCTTCGAATAGCGCGAATAATTCATTTATATCCAGGCAATGAATCTCTCGAATAACGCCCGAAAGCACCGTACAACCGGTGAAATTGTGAATCTCATGTCAGTGGACATCCACAGATTGCAAGATATGACCACATTCGTGATGCTGTTTTGGTCAGCACCTCTTCAGGTGTTTTTATACGCCTATGCATTTCAGTCAACTGTTGCAAACACATGTTATCCCTATCCAATTTATATTCTAGGTTATCTTGTCCATTATCTTCTTATGGAGGATACTTGGAGTTGCTGTCATTGCGGGTCTGGTGATACTAATCGCGATGGTGCCATTCAATTCTTACATCTCCGTAAAAATGCGAGACTGTCAGGCAAGAATCTCGCAAACAACGCAGATACGAAAAAAGCTATCATTGCTTTCGTTCAGGTCCAACAAATGAATCACAAGGATGAGAGAATGAAATTGATGTCAGAAATTCTTAGTGGTATCAAAGTACTAAAATTGTACGCTTGGGAAAAAAGCATGCAAAACACGGTCAGTTGAAGCTTTTTTTCCAAAACAGTCAATGCTTTCCTAGTGTCTTCGGGGTTGTCAACATGGCCAGAAGCAGTGCGCATTCTGTCGTCTCCCCCCCCCCCGTCTCTCTCCCTCGCCCCTCCGCTCTCCTTTCCCGGCATCGCTCCGGTCCGCCTATAGTGCGTAATCTTCCGACGATCCGGACCAAGCTTTGCACACATACACTTCGGGCAGGGCGGTTGTGTAGGCTACTGTTCGTTATCGATCGATATATCATATATATCTGATTTGCCGACTAATTTGCAAAGCTTGAGTTACGGGGCTGGGAGTTGGCACAGGGGGTAAGTGAGCATGCTGATCGGAGGGCCTGCAGGATCCTCCAAAGACCCGCCGCTTCTTCTCCAGGCGCGCCCTTGGGAGGCAATAATCCCTTCGCGCCTACCTCGCGCTTATGTCGCACTTGTCTTGCACATTTCTGCGATAGTTCCCCTACGGACAAGCGTCTCGTTCCTCCTGGATTAATCAGAAAAGGTCACTGATTGAACAAGGATTTTTCAATGATAACAAAAGATGTGAAGATGTGAAACTCTCAGTATTCAACAAACGAAGGTGGTACAACTGGTCACCTCAGTCGAGGTAATTAGAAAGGTTGTTGTTTTCGTAGTTTGACAGGTCACCGCATCAACGATCTCTCAGTAAGAAACAAAAAAAATGAAAAGCAAGCTGACTGACAGACAAATATTCGGTTGGCACAAGTTTTGCGACTATATTCGTTACTTTTCTCCATCTTTTGGATATAAATGTAGATTAGGTAGTATAGAAATGTGCTCAAACAGCTTGATTTTTGATAGCGAAGCGGAGTGAAATTACGCATTTTTCGAAAGCTGATCGTAATTTAAGGGTCGGATATCCAAGAATATAGTCGTTCACAGTACGAATCAAACGCATCAAGCCGAAACTAGATCATTAGAGACTCCTCACCATCTCGATACGGTTTGGCTTGATCTGTTTGATTCGGGCTGAGAATGGCTGTATTTTTGGTTTCCTGACCCTTGAAATTTCGAATTTGACAAATCTTCGAAAGAAAGCCAGAATTTTCTTTACGTCGCTACCAAAAATCAAACCTCTGCATTTATTTCTAGCCTACTACCTACTCTACTATGCTCAAAAATGAATACATCACATTCAAAAAGAGGAAGGTTACGAAAATAGCTGCAAAACTTATTTGTGTTGACCTATTACATTCAGCTGTGGCTATTGAGATGTAGTAGATAAAAAGAAACAAAACGTTGGTCATGTTTCCTTATCAGCGGAGTAAAATTATGAGCATATTTTTGGAATTATAATATAACTGCAAAATACATTGTACATCATTTTTTGGCAGTTCAGTGGACCCGTTGTACCTAAACTTTTGTCCTAATGGAACCGACGCTTCGAATGGATAGTAATTCACCAGGACCAGAAGCACAGCAAAAAATGTTGATGAAAATTCTTCTTTGATTGATTTCCCTCTTAGATGCCATGTTTCTGCAAAGCTTCCTTCTGGGAAGTTTTGAGCTTTTCTTTTTGCCAAATTGAATGCATCCCGAGCTGCAAAATAATCTCCATGAAAACGATGCAGACTCAGTTAAAATACCTGTTAAGTATCGTACATACTCTAATATCATTCGTACGTTTTCAAATGTTTTCCGGCCATGCTGCTGTCCACACGCCTTTTCTTTCTCGGGTACACTTTCATTAAAAAATACGAAAAAGCTCATAACTTCCTTTGGATAAACGCTTCGCAGGTATAAAAGTCAGCATTTCGAACTCCTTCGAACTCTATATATTGGTTATGCATCAATCAACTTACTTCAACCAGGTGACTCCTGGCAAGAGGCAATTTCATTGTCAGTCTACTTTTATTAATTTATTAGTTCCCACAGTTTTTTCCCTTCTTGTTATCATTGAAGAATTAATGTTTACGAGGTGAACCTTCTAATCAATGCTAGGAGAAACAAGACGATTGTCCGGAGGGGAAATATCGCAAGAATGCGCGAGACAAGTGCGAAGTAAGCGCGAGGTAAGCGCGAAGAGATTATTCCCTCCCAAGGGCGCGCCTGGAGAAGAAGCGGCAGGCCTTTGGAGGATCCTGATACGCCGCCATGCTGATCGAATACAATATTGGTTTTAAGGAGTATCAATGACCTTTATCGATTTGTTTTGTAAACTTTGACGGGGCTGGGAGTTGGCACAGGGGGTGAAAGAGATCCGATTACGAAAACATTGTGGCACGTCATACAGAGGTGAGACCGGAACAGGGAAATGTTGTACGAAATGGGGTATGGTTATTTCAATCGTATTGTACTGACGGGGCCGGGCAGATCCTTGCCAGCTAGTGAAGCTATAAAGTTAATGGTGCTTTGTACTGTGCTCTCTCAATGACAATAATTTTACTAGTGTTTTAACGGTGCTTCAAAGGACCCGAGTAAAAATGTGATTAGAGATTTTCACCCCAAATCAACCACAACTGAGAAGAAAACACAAAGGAAAAAAAGCAGAAAGTTACTGATAGGCCACTAGGTGACTAGGTGATTTGAATGGTAGTTGATTATTTGTGCGGCTTCGCGCATCCGAAAATCATCCTACAGGAGTTCTCGCGCGATAAAAAAATGCGAATTATACGCTGGAAAATAAGACCACTCAATAAACACTGATAATACAGAAGAGGAGATAGAAAGGCATGTGATACAGGCGACAAGATAAAATAAACTTTCAGAATAATAAAAAAGCTTAACTGACTTCCACTCCAAAACCAACAAGCGAGATAGCTGCATGTGTTTCAAGCAGGGCCTGGAAAAAGCTGGAATTAATGGTTTTTACACGTTCCCTATAACTGCGCGGTCCCTGGTCCAAGGAATGTATTTCATATGATCAACTTGTAGACAATCGTATATAGGGGAAACCAAACAGACGTTGAAGGCACCGTCCACCCTAAGTTAGAGGTCTCAAACTTTCGGCAGCTTACGATACTAGGGCCCCCTAACAAGCCAATGCCCAAGTCCCGCAAAATGTCGCTTTGGAATGGCGAAGATGCATGAGGACCAGGATCGAGAGAGAAGTGTGGCCACCCTCCTCAAGTTCTGCCGCATCTCCCCCCCCCCCCCTCCCCTCCCCCCCCTACATTCCCAGCATTACGTTTGCCTACTAGGGGCGGCGTGGTAGGAACTCTCAATAGCCGCTTTTCCTCGCAGGGGTACTTGGTACCTCCAGAAATCCCTAAGGACATCACACTTTCTCGGGGCCAAAGGGCGTCTTCACCCATCACTTCTCCCTCTAGGTGCCCTCATTCGGAATTGTGTAAGGCAGTGTAAGACGTGTTTCATTGCATATGAGGATAATAGAACTGAAAGAAAAACAGAAAAAATTCTAGGTTTCTGTAAGGGTTCAGAATCCATAAATTATGCAGCTGAATTTCAGCGTTTCGAGTTATGCCTTATTCATGTTTTTAAAAGACGCTTCCTTAAAAACTTGTAAGTGCTCGCGCTTGCGTAAGTTTGTGAAGCGTATCGTATTACCCTAAAATCCGCACAATAAGTCCGGACTTATCTGCAGTTTTGACACGAAAGTCGATGAAAAATCGCCCTCTGCGCCGCCAAAAGTCTTGCAGATAAGTCCTCCTAAATCCCCTATCAGATAAGTCCGCAGCAGATAAGTTCGCCTATCCTGAGCATGAGAAAGCGGACTTATCTGCAGGACTCTTGGCGGAGCGAGGGCGACTTTCGTTGTCAAGAAAGCGGACTTATCTGCTAGGTCTGCTGCGGACTTATCTGATAGGCGGACTTATTGTATGGATCTTAGGGTAATATAAATCAAGCAGAAGTTATGAGTCTTCCAATCACGCTTTATAACAGAGAAGTTATTCAACTTTACGCATGTTCTGAAGTTCATCTAGGAATATAGGAAATTACTATCTTGCATATTTAGTGTCGTATTTGGAATCTTAGCCAATTCTTCAAACGACGAAGTTTCGTATTCTAGTACAGGAAATGCTACACTTGAAAATTTCTTTTTGATAATTTGGATCTTATTGATCAATAGAGTAGGTGGAATGAAGAACTCATTCGAATATACAGGGTGTCCCAAAATAATGTGCACACTGTTTGATTTTGGATAACTCTCTTATTATGAGGTCTTTCGAGAAGCGGTAAGCGCCATTTAGTAGAGCTGGCTTCAGCTTAGATTTACAGTATAGAGCGAATCACCGACCGCTCTTCATTACTGTAGGATAGAAACTGGTAGAAACTTGGAACATATGGGGTCACTATGGAAAAAGCTGCCGTTTCAAAATGTTTCGAAAAGATGTGAAAACTTGTGTGATAGGGTTTTGAGGGACGCTGAGTTCCATACTCAACTATTCTCAAGATTGCGAAGCTTTCAAAACGGTGTAACCACACTTTTTAGGAACATTGAGACAATGGCCGCTACTGCTTACCTCGCATAACTCTTCAGCGAAGCATCATAATAAGATGGGAACTTTACAGTTAGAATCAGCAACTCTAATTGGCCTAGTGTAAAAGTTTTTAGGCTGTTCTGATTCGTTTCTGCGGCAAAATATGACCTTTCATGGCCCAAAACCCTCTCTGAAGTTTCTACCGTAATCCTACAGTAATGAAGAGGGATGAGTGACTCCTTCTAAAATTCAAATCTACGAAGCCAGCTCTAAAAAAGGGCGCTTACCGCTTCTCGAAAGACCTCATAATAGGAAAGTTATTCAAAATCAAACAGTGTGCACATTATTTTGGGACACCCTGTATTAGGCACACGATAGAAAAGTATGTCTTCAGATATCCTAACTGTTGGAGAAAGCGTTAAGTTGCTTGTTCGGAAACTTTGATTTACTCCTTTAAAAAGAGGTCCTTCTATTGTTGTGAAGTTTATTGGGTTCGCAAACTCCTGATGCTAAATTACTTCAATCAGAGCATCACTTGAGAAATGTTAACTATGCTCCGTTTTTTCCCCATTTTTCTCTCTTATTGCCTCAAAGGCAGCGTACGGGCAATATTGACCTACCTCAGATTTTGACACAGATGGATAGGAGGCCCTCCAAGTGAACCAAAACAGTAACTCCGCGCCGAAAGTGTGAACTCTGCAAGCCAGGGGGCGGCCCAAGCGTCGCTCCACAGTGAGACCAGCAAATGGGTGGAGCGGTGGGCGGAGCCTGACCTCTGAGGCGCGGAGGTGCTACAACCCTCCTGGATGCAAATGCTGGTGCGAAGTCGGTGCAAGTAAAGGTGCTGGGAACTCCTGCACGCCCTCCCCTACCGGGCATAACATGAGGCTATATCAAGTATAATTGGTAACAGGTCAGAAGTCGAAGTGGACAATCCAAACAAGCTGCATACCATTCGATGCAGCATACAGTCTGTCCCAATCCCAATCAAGCCGAAATTGGCATGGCGAAAGCCCGCGTCGCTAGGGTTTCGCGGTCACTCCCACGGCCTGCTTGTCTGCTCTCTCTTCGATCTCCTCGCTCTCTCCAACAATTTGCGCGCATATGCAGCGCAAACGCCTAGCGCTGCGAGCGCGTAAATTTGCGCCGACGGTCCGATCTGATCCCGATTGGGGCACGCTATAGAACGCTGTTTTCAAGTCTGTCTTCCATATCTGCTGAACGCCTTTGTAGACGAAGTTATGAGCAGCTTAATGCGAAAAATTCGCACACAAAAATTGCGAACTTACATACATTATTGCCCTTTTACCCAGCTCTGGGCACGAGCCACATGATGTGACCTAGCTGCATGTTTTGGTCGAGCACTGAGCCGAGAATGGCTCCGTACTGCCAAGTTTGTCCTTTACACGCACGATTTTCAGCAAAATAATGGCCTTTAGCTGCTCATAATTTTATCCACAAAAATGTTCTGCAGATAAAGAGGGCAAATTTAGAGTCAACATTTTATGCTGCATCTAATGGTGTGCAGCTTGCTTGGATTGGCCATTTCGATTTCTGACCATTCCCTTGTTAGCATGTCAAGTAACCCCTGCGGGCCAAGATTTAACGGATTCTGAAGGTTCCTATTATTGAGCCGCCCAAATGGAATACTCGTTTTCAAAAATGGTTAACTTTATTTCAACTTTTTTTTTTGCTTTGATTAGCTATCCCTTTCACTCATTACAAAGCACTACTCCTTATTTGCCCATATGAGATAGCTCGCTTCAAATGCTCTCCAAATTGTGAAATTGGGGGGCTTCTTTCTTATGCTTACTCTACGTATACGATGGTAGGTCCATTCAGTGTGCTTGTTTTCCAATGAGTTTGCCTTACCCCTCAGTACGACCCGCAAATGTGACGTGCCACATCCCACGCTAGACCCTGATGAGGACACCAAGTCGCAATCCACCTCCGCCCCCCCCCCCCCCTCCCAGTAATGTCCGCCCTCCGCGCGCGCCCATCCAATCACCGTTCCGCAATACCGGCCTGCGGGGATCCGAAACGGGGTTTTTGTGGATTTTCGATTCCATATTCGGAGTTAGGGACATAAGAAGGCCCTGGGACGACCAAAACATAAGTCGAGAATTTGGGTGGACGGTGTCAAGTCAACGTATCAATTAACAATGAAGATCTTTGCGCATTCAAATGTTGAAGACGAATATGGCTGAACGGAGAAAGCAACTAGACGTTCACAACCCGCATATCGTAGACATACAGTAGAACAGAGTTACTATACCATTTGTTAAATGTCAGTAGTTCATATGTTAGTGGCGGGCTTCAGTCTCGCATGAAAATGCAAAGACAAAAAATTCGTGGAAAAATCTTCTCAAATGCTACAATTTTCAGCAAAAACAAGTTCAAAGTTTAGAAAATGTCACAGTACCATGAGTAAGCAATAGGTTCAATTTCTGGTCTAGAGAGATGTGTTCTTGTGGAGAATGTTGTGATAAGGGTTTTTGCAAAAATTTTCTGTAATTTTTGCCATTTCCATGCCAAACCAAAGCCTGCCACAGCAATGTGTGGACTACTGCCATGTAGAAAATTTCTAAAGCTTTTTTGGGGCTTGTTAGCGACACTAGCATTTTTTACGAATTGACTAAAAGTCACGACATCTGAAGTGCCAATTTTCAAAACATGTTTCTCGAGAACTAGCCGACAAAGAGCTGCCGCGATAGTCCGTGAAGCGCACACCTTTTATTTTCGCAATACAAGATCATGAATATGGGCTTAGAGACAGTTACTGAATTTTGAATTACCCAAAAAGTTTTAAATCAACCTAAAATATACTTCTTTGCTTTTTATCCTCACGTCGGAACATTAGCGCGTTACGACTATACTTCGGAAAATCGGAAATTGTCCATCGAATGAATGAATCTCGAATAAATAGGAAAATCAAAAATTTTGATCAAACGCATATCAAGTAGTACCCGAAAATCAGAAATCGAATAAACGAGCATTGACTAAAATCGAAATTTGAAAATTCAACTAAACGAATACCGAATAAAATTCGAGAATCAAGAATTTCGAATTTACGAATATCGATTATTTGCGAACATTGAGGGTCTACTTGCGAATGGCTATTCAAATATTTTATTCGAATGGCTGAACATTTGGACGAATCATTTGAATGTATAAATATTCCAATGTTTGTTCGAATATCTAGAACAAAGATTTGTAAATCTTGCCGACATACCCGGCTCGGTCGTTGACGTTTGGCTTTGGCTCTCCACCAAACTCGAATAAATCGAAATTCAAATAAAACATTCTAATTAAACGTTCTAATAATATTCATTCGAAATCTCATTTTCCAATTATTCGAGATTTCAAATTTTCTTCGAAGCTTGTTCTTTGATTATACGACTTCTCACTTTTATTCTAGGCGTTTTTTGACCATTCGAGTTTTCGAATTTCATTCGACACCAAGTTTTGACAATTCGACTTTTGTAGTATTTGAAAATGGAAATCTAAGTAATCGAAGTTTTATTCGATTCGAACGAAAGTATAGCTGCGACACTAGCCTTAATGTGTTTGGCGCTGCATCTGGGATATTATGGGGAGTATTGCATGACTACGTAAACGTGGTTACGTAAACCTTGATCAAACGCTGCAGGTACTGGATATACGACAGAAGGAGCTCAACGTCCTCAAAAAGCTGGCCTTCCTCAATGCTGCCACGACCTTATCATGGGCTTGCGCTCCATTCCTGGCAAGTCGTCAGAATTTCTTTATTTCGAGTGAAAATGAGCTGGAAATAGTGTGTTTAGGTGGCTGTGCTCTCCTTCGCTGTTTTCGTTACTATTGACCCAAATAAAAATATTTTAACACCGCAAGTAACATTTGTTGCTCTAGCTCTCTTCAATATTCTTCGCTTTCCTTTAGCAATCTTTGCCATGATATTCAGTCAGGTATGGAGGTCGTTTAAAATCTCCCATTCGTGATCCCCGTTTACTTATGAAAACAAAGATTTAGGCAGTACAATGTCGCGTCAGCAATAAACGCTTGAAATCATTCTTTGCTGAGGAAGAAATGGATAGTGATGCTGTTAGCAATAGGAGTAGCGGTAAACTTCAATTGCAAGCAACCTTTTGTACTGTAAACTGGCTAAATTGCAGAGGAGGCGCTGAGGATTGAGAATGGCACATTTGCCTGGGAGAAGGAGGAAGGAAATGAAACTTTGAGGAACATCAATCTTTCGGTGAAAAGAGGACAACTCGTAGCTATCGTTGGCAAAGTCGGTACTGGAAAGAGCAGCCTGCTGCAAGCAATACTAGGTAGGCAGTATCCAGAGCGATGAAATACAGTTTATAGAGCAGGTAAATCAACGAATTTCTGTTTTGAAAAGTTTACACTGCTCTTAAAGGGAAAGGAACTGTTATAACTTTGGTTGGAAAATGATCACGTGATCATCCATTTTCTTATGCGTTTTTGGTTGAGTTAATCATTTTCACTCGAATTAAGTTTTCTTGCAGGAGAAATGAACAAAGTGTCTGGATCTGTTAATGTAAGCGGCACGATTGCCTATGTACCTCAGCAAGCGTGGATACAAAACCTGACGCTGCGGGATAACATACTATTTGGACGCAATTATGATCGCTTGTTCTATGACAAGGTGGTGGACGCTTGTGCCCTGAGGCAAGACCTATCTAGTCTACCTGCAGAGGACTTTACTGAAATTGGCGAAAAGGTTCGAACACTTCAAAGTCCAAGGTCGCCCGCGCTAGCGTCGTTCCAATGCAGTGCCAAAGTGACGATCGATCAAAACGATGCAGATCTCCGTGGATTTCGGCGGGCGGTTGGAACGGTGCTGGCACATCGTCGACACACTGCAAATCTAGATTTTACCTTGATCGTAAAACGTTTGAACAACCACCTCGTTTAGGGCATTAATCTTTCTGGAGGCCAGAAGCAACGCGTTTCTCTAGCTCGGGCTACTTACTCACATTCTGACATCGTCCTTCTCGATGACCCGCTCAGTGCCGTTGATTCTCATGTTGGAAAGCACATCTTCGAGCACGTTATATGTCAGTTCACCTCTGTAAAGCATATCCAGCTATAGCATGTTCCTTTAGCATCTAGTAGCGGATTATTAGCAAATACAACGCGAATTCTGGTGACTCATGGACTTCATTACCTCAAATATTGTGACAAAGTAGTCGTTCTGAAAGGTAAGTTTTTTTGCGAAGCAGGCAAACGTTACGCAACTTCAGTATTTTTAGACGGAGAAATCAGTGAGATGGGTACTTATCAGGAGTTGATTGCTAGACAGGGAGCATTCAGCGAGTTTCTTGAAGAGTTTCTGGTGGAGGAGACGAAAAAAAGGGGTCGAAGCGTGAGCTTCGGGGAAGCAGGTGTGTACAAAAATTCCAGGCTATCAACTCACAACAGACTGGAATTTAGTAGAAGACGTATCAGAAATACTAGAAGAAATGGAGAAAGTTAGTCCCGAACGTCGACGAAGGATAGAGTCTCAACTCAGTCACGAGATTGGCAATGAGAGGGTAAATTCTGACTCTGTTAAGCCAAAGCGGAATTGTCGCTTTGCAGGGGTTCGTTCCGGAAATAGCTCCACCTTCTCCCACAACGAACGGTAGTGTTATCGGCGCAGACCACGTAGACGAGGATCGAGCCATAGTGGATGCCAAGACTGAAGAGAAAATGGCTCTTTTGGCAGATGAGAAAAAGCAGGTTCAGATGAGCAAATTAGTGGAAAAGGAGGGAATGGAAACAGGAAAGGTACTGACACTGCAGCGGTTGAGTGAAGGAAATAATAGCAAATTTTCAGGTGAAATGGGCTGTATATCTTACTTACATCCGTGCTATCGGCTTTGATGTTGCCTTGCTCTTCATCACTGTTTACATTCTAAGCAGCGTTCTTGGGGTTTGTGTCCTAAACCTTTTCATTTGCTCTCTGTTAACGGTGCCTTTAGGTTGCCAGTAATTTGTGGCTTGCTAAGTGGTCCGATGACGCTGAAGCGATCCAGAAAAACGGCACCAGTTACGACACGAACACGCGACTAGCAATATATGCCTCTTTGGGCGTCGGCCAAGGTGAAAGAACTCCCTAAATTTGTTCAAGATGTGCAATTCAGATTTTCTCAATAGGGTGGTATTGGATCGATTACGTACACGACTTTCTGTAACAGAGGCGTCAGCAATTTTCGGAAGGGGTGCGAAAGAAACTTCCACGTCAAAATTTACCACACCTTCAGAAGGAATTTTGAAAAAGCTTTTTGAATTTGAGAATCCTCCCAAGGAACCTTCAAAAGCTAATTGATTAGTTGTAAATAAATATAAGTTTTTCCCTCCTTCAGCACCTCCTCTTCTCTCTGCATCCACCACTGACAGATCGCATAAACCTACGAGTTTATGCGATCTATCCGACTCCAAAAATCTTATGTATCAAATAGCTTCCACATTTTCCGTCGAAATTTCTGTGTCAGGAAAAGCTTTGACTGCTTTCTTACAAGGGAATCACACTTGGTCGAAGTGGCATTTTCATATGAAAAGTACACTGTCTTATAGAGCATGGAACGCTGATTCTAAATCTGCTTTTGCTATCTGCGAAGCGCTTTTTTTGGGGGGGGGGAGGAGGGAGTTATGGGTATTTTTTGAGGGAGAAAAATCAAGGTTCGGCTAAGGTAAAAACAGGTATTGAGGACTTTTCGGGCTTGAAAGGAGTAGTGGTGGCTGACATGAGTTTATTAGACTGCGAATATTTATTACATAAAGTACCCTGGAAGTGTCAAGACCTCATTTAAGCTCACGGATAACAGTTTCGAATGATTTTGTTGTAGCGGCGCGATCAAGGTTTTGCACCAAAATATTCCCATAACTCTCCTCCTAAAAGCGCTTTGCAAATAGCGAAAGCAGACTTGGAATCAGCATTCCATGCTTTATAAGACAGTATGCGTTTCATATGGAAACGCCACTTCGACCAAGTATCCTTCCCTTATTAGAAGTGTTAATTGTAACTTTCAATTTTGGTGTTGGAGGTGCTAAAAGAGTGGATTTAGAAAGTGAGATAAGCTATGATAGCAGCGAAACTGCTTGTTTAGTCTGAATTGCGCATTGCAAAAAGAATCAAATTTGCTTCTCAACCAGACATTGTCTAGATCAAAGCAAGTAAATCTCTTGCAGCATTGTTCGTATGTGCCGCTTCGGTCATCATGGCTTTGGGAATGGTTGGAGCATCGCGCTTGTTGCACGAAGGTATTCTAAAGAATATACTCCATTCGCCCATGCAATTCTTCGATACAACTCCCATCGGTCGGATACTCAATCGTTTCGGAAAGGTGCGCCACAGTCAAGCTCTTCAAAAGCTGTTGTAAACTTGACTTATCAATTCGTGCATTTTGAAAGAAGGAGAAGGTCGAAAGCAGTGGGGCTGAATAGCTTTCACACATCGACGTTCTAGCTTTGAGGATGTAGTGTGGTATGGTGCATGGTATGCTGTACCAGTGTCAAAAGTGTTAGATTCTTGAGTTGAAAACAGAATTTGCGAAACAGGATGTGGACACTGTGGACTTCCGACTGCCAGAAGCCATCGGTGAGCTGGCGCTGACTGGCGGCTACATAGCCGTCGCAGTATTCCTGCTCGCCCTCGTCACTCCTTGGGTGATCGGACCTGTGCTCGTCGTGTTCATCTACAACGCCGTTGTACTGGTGAATGTGCTCCCTTCATCTGAGAAATACAGGCAAATGACATTCTGCGAACCTAGCAGCAGTATGGACCGTAGGCCCCGTCTATTGCATCCATTGTGAATCGTCTCTAGTGCATGTTCTAACGCTGGCGCTTGCTGCTGATCATCTTTTATGTTACTATTTATTTGTAGGAACTTTAGAGGTTCTAGTTTGGAGCAAGAGTACTTCATCACAGGATGTGGAGGCGCTCGACACGACCCTGCCTGGCTCGATCCGCTCCATGATTATGACGGTGTTCAACGTCATCGCGACGCTCGTCGTCATAATCATCGCGACTCCGGTGATCGCTGTGCCGTTTGCATTGCTCGCTGCACTCTACTTCGTGGTACTGGTACGCGCACACAACAGACAACTACTTTTGTGGTGTCCCCTTTGAGTGATGGAGGGATTGAGTTTTTCTCTCATGCTCTAACTAAGCCATAATAAAGCGTGTGGTCTTCCCCCTCTCTTTCATCTTGCACCCTTCTTCCTTAACTTTCTCCTAGCGGCTCGACTCGCTTGACCGTAAGTGCGTGCGGTGAGTTGACTCGTACAAAGCGAGCCAGGTCGGTCTGCATGGCTCTGCAGGCAGACCAGACGAGCGTGAGCTCTGCGCTTTTCAATTTCCAACTTTTCCCTGGTCTGTGAACAGAATGTGGTGGTTTGCTGTGTGGCCGTGAATTTTGCATGCAGGATGTGGACACGTTGGATACGAGATTGCCGCATGCGGTCACGCTGTTCGTCGGAGCCATCATTCAGGCGATCATGATCGTCGCGCTGCCCATCTACGCAACGCCTGCGGTCGTCTTCCTAATCACTCCGGCATTCGTCTTCTATTTCTTCATTGTGGTTAGCCTGCATGCTTATTTTTCTGTTTCTGGCCCTTTTCCTTCCACCACTGACTCTATTAATCGAAAACAGCTTGAGATCCCTTTTGTCATCCCATTTGCAGGAAAACTAGAATCACTATTTATAAACGAGGAATGGGTCAGAAACTTGTGGTTTACCCATATTCTTTATGTGTCCGTGTTGTGGTTCGCATTTGTGTCTACGTCAAATGTCGAAATGTCAATGTCTCCTTGGTCTATTAGAACGTGACGAGTGCGTGTTTCAGCTGTATGGCTTGGTCAAGATTCCACATAATGCTTGGAAATGTACACATTTAGTATTATCATGAACTAGGTCTAAGAAAAAAATTGTAACACAAACTTCAAGTACATTTGATGGAGTGTTGGCCTCGAGCAACTTTTAAGCATCAGGCGCCGGGCATACCTTCGCGATTTCTGCAGTCACCACGCGACTCGACGATTTGCCAGATGTATTCAATACCAACACTTATAGACTACAAATGCTCAGTGTGCATAACCTTTGTAAATTGACAAAATCTTTTGTATAACAAAAACGCGTTCGCGGTGGCTTATTAGCAACTGAGGAATTGCCGAATTGCGTGGCGACTGATACGTATGAAGTCCGGCGCTTTAGAAACTCTGAAATGCTGAGTCGTTCTTTTTAAATATGCACTTCATTTTTCAATTTACTATTTACAATCTTTGAGATGCAGCTTGAGTACAGTGATGGTGCAAAATGTTTACTACTTGTCACCTCACAAAGTAAAGTCTTGCATAGTGATTCACAAGTCAAAACAGTCTTTGAAAATAACCTTCTGATTGTTCTGTCGAAATACGTACGATACCAGCCCGAACTCTGCGGGAGGCGGATTTCGTGGGGCAAGAAGTCCGATGTGAACATTTCCCGCAAATACATAGTGCTGTGAACAGCTTATGCTCTCACACTTATCGCTTTATGTGTGCATTTTGTTCTTTGTTGAAGGACGTGGACTGTCTCGACAATGCCATTCCCCGTTCTCTAATGTCGTTTGTGCGCACGTTGATTGCTTCGATCGAGATCGTCGTGGTGATCGTGTGTGCAACGCCGCCGACTACAGCTGTGCTCGTGCCTTTGTTTGCCATTTACTTCATGTTTTTGGTTCGTTAGGCAGTTGATCATTCTTTGCTTGTATGCTTTCGCTTTTTGGATTCCCTTCCTTTACACCGCCCCCTTACATGTCAAAAACTCTAGGAAGGCGTTTGGTGATCAAGAAACGTACAGACGGCAAGTGGCTGGCATTAACTAATTTTCTAATTTTCGAACGATCTGGTTACCAAAACTGTCAACTGTTAGCTTTTCACTTAAGAATTCATTGAGGAATAGTTTCTGAGCTTGGACATTGTAGCATTACCATAGTTGTTAACACGTTAACGACCCTGTGCATACGCGCGTATGACTCCCGTTTAGCACTTTCGCATCAGTTTTCCATGTGTAAAGGAAAAGTTCTAAGGTAACATCTATGCAAAAATGATACTGGTGGCGTGATTGTCATGTAGAACACAGGGCATCGCGGTAGCTATTAGGAGTCTAAACCGCGGATTTAGATATTCAGTCCAATTTTATGTGGTCCAAAATGGCTTCGTCAGCGTGTTAAGCCTAGCAAAAGAATCCCTAGCATGTTAGATTCTTTCTTGAAGATACAAAATATATTCTTTGACGGTTCAAAGTTCTCCAATTTACCGTAATTAGCGCAGTAGACACCGATCGGTGATAGCTCTACAGAGTACTACCCAGAGGTCGGCAAAAGATCTACGGAGAGAGGTATAGAACACACACTGCCGTGAAATCCTAAGATATAAGCGCAATGCCGCGGTGGAAGTGCCTTATCGCGATAGCTCGCTTAAACTCCATTTAATCGGATTCTAGTTTGAATATCTTTGATCAGCGCCTTTTCAACCATCTGAGTGCTTTTCAAAAGTTCCGGATCTCGTTTTCAAAGATTTTTTTAGAGTCTTCGGCGAAATAAACGCATCGCCGCGTTTATAACCGCACCGCCATAACTTTCCTCAACTCAAATCTTTCAAGTTCTAGTTTGAATATTTGGAATCGTCAAACCCTAAGCTATCCAGAATAATCCTTTGAAATCTTGTAATCTTACTTTCAAGCTTCCTTGGCTCTATGCCAGCGGCGGTCTGAATGCAATTTCGCGTTGGAAGTGCCGCACTAGTGTAACTCGGTTCAAAGGCCTTCAACCAAAATTTCGATTAAATATTTGAAACCGGCGTCTTTTTGTCCGTTCATGTGTTTACTCAATGGCTGATTCTCTTGTCTTAGTATTTTTTGAATATCAACGGCGATACAAACAGCATGTCGCGTTGGAAAAGCCGGATTGGTGTAAGTTATTTCTTGTTTCTCATATCAAATTTTGATTTTGGTGTTCAGAACCAGTAAGGTTCAAGCTACTCGAACATGTTTGTCAGCAAAATCCCAAATTTTTTCCAGACTTTTTTAATCCCTCATAGTGCCCAAATTAGTCAGCCTGGCCCTGGCTTTTGCCACGATGACCTCACCGTATCGAAACCCTCAAAATCTCACCAATTCGATGACATAATTCGAAAGTGAGATGGATACAAAGACCTTGACATCTTGATAGAGTTTAGTCCAAATCGGAACTTGAAATAATGTTTGAGTTTCGCGAGTCTTCCCACTTGGAAAATTGACTAGGTTATTGGATACTTCAAAATTCTGTAATAACCAGCAGATAAATTTCAATTAGTTTATCTGAATGATTACTTTTCTCAGCAAATCAAAAATTGAATTTGCTAACTTCAGTTTGAAGAATTGAAAATTTGCACAAACTTTGTCAATTTCTTCAAGTTTTGGGCAACATCTTAAAAGTAAACTGGTGTAACTTTTCAAGAGAACTCTTAGATGGTTCAGAAGGCGCTGATCAAAAATATGCAAACTAGAACCCGATTGATTGGAGCTTAAACGAGCTTTGCAATGCGGCACTTCCGGCGCGGCATTGCCCTTATATATCGTGGGATTCAAGGCGACAGTGTTGGTACCGTGCTAGTGAGCAAACTTAGGGCCGCATGCACTAACATGGCCGCGGGGAGGGGATCGCAGCTTGAAAAAAAGCTTCTTATTTCAAAACTCCAGATACTTGGATTTCACGTTGTGTACCTATCCGTAAGTATTCCTACTATCCTTCACTATGAACATGTTGAACAGGAGCGAGAAGCTGTACAAAAAGCATTTTCCGGCTTTTGTATGATCCCTGATGATCCCCGGCGCTTTTCTTTGAAGTCATTTTTCTTTCTCCGAAGTCAACGAAAAACTTCCAAAGTTGTGCAGATTATCTAACCCAACAATGCTAAGCATGTTGCTGATAAGAACAAATGATGTTTTGAAGTCATGAAATTTCCGATCCACAGGTCGAAATTTGGGGTATACCGAAAAATTCGATTTTTCAAAAATTCATTTGTTCTCATCAGCAACATGCTTAGCACTGTTGTGTTAGAGTTCAGTATAACTTTGGAAGGTTTTCGTTAATTCCGGAGAAAGACAAATGACTTTGAAGAATAGATGTTCGTCCCCCAGGGATCATCAGGGGATCCTACAAAAAGCTGGGAAATGCCGCTTGTACAGCTTCTCGCTTCTGCTCAATATGTTCATAGTGAAGGATGGGAGTACTTGCGGACAGGTAGACAGCGTGAAATCCAGATATCCGGAGCTTCAGGATATGAAGCTTTCTTCTGAAGCTTCCATCCCCTCCCCAGCGGAAATGTTAGTGCATGCGGCCCTTAGTATACATACTTATGGGACACATGTTTTATCTCTTAGAGTTCTTAGTTGACTCAGCTAATTGATGTTCTACGAGATTTGTAAGTATCTAGAATAAGTTGTAAAGCAACCGACTGTTTGCCATAAACCTTGCTCTCTGTATGATTCGACTCATCAAATGCCTGGCTTCGAGTTGATCATAGTGGTATTCTGTTGTTGTTACAGACTTCGCATGTTTCAGAGATTTTACGTAAGTACATCACGTCAATTGAAGCGACTTGAATCAGCTTCTCGTTCACCAATCTACTCTCATTTTCAAGTTCGTGACAGTGTAGTCTGCCGAAGTATTTGTATCTAAAGAAATAGTTTAGGAATCGATCCAAGGTGCTGCCTTGATCCGTGCGTATAGACAAGTAGATGTTTTCGTTAAAGAGTCTGAGCGGAGGGTGGATGAAAACCTTGGAACTTACTATCCCAGCATAGTTGCCAATAGGTAAGAGCCACGGATAGACGCTTTGAACGAAATCGGAAGTGCTGAAGGAAATTCATCTTATTTGACGGTCAGAAGATGGGTGTTCGAGAAAGTAAAAACACCAGGAAAAACAAACAATGGTTACCGTAGTACGTTGGTACGGTACCAAATACCAGTCGATTTCAGGTGGCTTGCAGTTCGTTTGGAGCTTGTCGGCAACCTCATCGTTATGTTTTCGGCTTTATTCGCTGTACTTTTCCGGGATTCTCCGAATCTTTCCGCCGGTCTTGTCGGTCTTTCCGTTTCATACGCGTTGAATGTAAGATTTTCAAATTTTATACTGTAGCAAATGAAAAAAAGTTATTGTGCTCCTCAACGGGATAGATGAATATTGTATTTGTCAACGCAGAGCATTGTGTCTCTGAATGTCTAGCAAGTGCGATGCTTAGCTCTTCTTTTGACTTCTTCCCCTCTTTCTTTTTATCATAATATAGCTGGCACATCCAAACTTCTCGCTGATTTTAGATTACCCAAACTTTGAATTGGGCTGTGCGCATGACAAGCGAACTGGAAACAAACATCGTAGCTGTCGAACGCATCAAGGAATACACAGATAGTCCAACTGAAGGAGCGCATTCCAAGAAAAAACCAGCTGAGAGCTGGCCACAGAATGGAAAAGTTGTCCTTAATGACGTATGCCTCAGGTAATTCGTACTCTCTTTGGATATTGGTGATGATGTTTGACAATTTGAGGTATCGAGCGGGGCTTGATCTGGTGTTGAAGCATGTGTCAGCAAGTATAGAGCCCAGAGAAAAGGTTGGAATTGTTGGAAGAACTGGTGCAGGTGAGGCAAACTGAAACGTGAATAAAACTTACCTCTTCTACTCTGCTACGTTTGATTTGAGTGGGGAAACCTTTACTGAACGTAATAATTGATAGTTGTCATTGCAATCAAGTTTTGTTTGGCTTAGGGTATCGTTACTTTGTCTCAATATCAAAAATCACTTTCCTTCGTGTATATGCATGGTAATAGCCGCTGATTGTTCTCGTTTTTTTATCTACCTTGCTTCAGGTAAAAGCTCGCTCACTCTTGCACTGTTTCGGACCGTTGAAATCGACAGTGGATCCATTGAGATTGATGGTTACAACATTTCCACCCTTACTCTTGAGGTACTCTATTCAAAACCATGGGCATATTTCAAAATTTGAATTTCTATATAGGATTTGAGATCTCGTCTCACCATCGTGCCCCAGGACCCGGTGCTATTCTCAGGCACTCTTCGATTTAATCTGGACCCCTTCGATGTTTATAGTATGTGAATACATTTGAGTCACGAGGCTGTATTATTCTTTCAGCCGATGAGGAGATATGGAATGCTTTAAGAAATGCCCACCTGGAGCCTTTCGTAGCGTCGCTTGCTGACAAATTGCTGTATCAAATATCTGAAGGCGGCGAGAACTTGAGGTACAATTCAGTACATCATCCCTCTGCTGAAGTATTCTTTACATATTGTATATTCATTCAAGCGTATTTTCCACATTTTTGACCATTAGATTTAAATGATGACGACTGATAGAGACCTGGGCAGCTTTTTGATCTTCTTCTCCAACAACACTGTGCAGTTACATCACAAAAACAATTACAAATTCAACATTTTTATCTTCGACCCCGATGTCTTATTCCGAAGGCCATGTGTATATCTAAGGCGAAACTACGCTAAATTTCTCTGTAATTACCCGACATTCTTGGATATGAAATTCTCTCCGATTTTTTATGGAAAGCTCAAACGTGAAAAAACTTCTTTGCATGGAAGGCCTTAAGGAACCATACCTCAAAGCATGAATCACACTCGCCTCCTATTAACTATGGAAGATCAGTCTCCTTAGTAACGAATGTCCGCGCTACGTGAACGTAAGAAGTTGATGGTTGGGGTACCGGAAAGAGAATACGGTACTCCTCCGTTATTTGGACCTTTCAATGATTGGTTTGTTTTATGTACTTCAATCTTGACTAGGATTTTTGATCTTTGGAGAGACTACCTGCCTGCTACATGTTAAGAGGAAACTACCAGGTTGTTTTTTCAAACGAAATTTTACAATCATCAGTGATTTGACATGGAGTGTCATGTAGGCTCACAAATTCGGCTCTTTTGGGATTTAGCCCAAAGCTTAAAGAAAATCTCAACCGGCTCTCCATAACGACTCGAAATATGTTTGCTCTTCAACTGCTTCAAATTCCGAAATGGAGTAAAAAGTGATTTATGTGAAATCGTGCTGGATTTGAGTTCCTAGCTGAGCAAGACCAAAAAACTCTCGTTAAAATATAGTAGGTATCAAATGTGTTGATTTTCTGCACATAGCATTGCGCTAACTCTCTTTTCTTGTGAAGATTGACCAATAGCTGACATGCCAGAAAAAGCCATTTTCAAATTTGATCCGGATAACGGAAGATACCTATTGCAATATAATGTCTCCTTTGAGATCAGAATTGTTCTTTTCTTGAAATCTGACCAATATACATTTTCATATTTCAGTGTTGGGCAACGGCAGTTGTTGTGTCTTGCTCGAGCCCTCCTACGCCGTCCGAAGATTCTAGTTTTGGACGAAGCAGCGGCTGCTGTTGATGCAGAAACCGATTCTTTGCTACAACGAACCATTCGCGAACAGTTCGCCGACTGTACAGTACTAACTATTGCTCATCGTCTAAATACGGTACTCTTGAATGCGGGGGTATAGTTTGAAGTTAAATTGATCCGTCAATTTAGGTGATGGACTGTGATCGACTATTAGTTATGGATGCAGGTCGAGTAATTGAATTCGATACACCTAGCGCACTCTTAGCGAAACAGGACGGCTTATTCCGTTCGATGGCAGAAGATGCTGGTATTGTTGCATGAAAAAATTTCCATTAGTTTCCTTAAGCATACTGAAGAGGATTTAGCGTTTATATCATACACATTTAGTCAAATAGAATAATCTCTATAAGATTATCACTTTATTCGCCTCTGGTTGTTTTGTATTTTCAGGAATAGAACAAGTATTAGATTTAATTTGTCATAATCATTATTGACTGACTGATCAGACATATGTCCGTCTTGTTCGTTTGGTTTGTTGCTCCATATCTGTTCTAGCTTTTAATTGTTAATGATTCAATCAGAATATCGCGAGTGTTATGAATCTTGTGTTTACACTTTCGCTACATGAAAGCAATTTGCGTTTGTTCCGTATTCTAGTTCGAGCTGGGAGATCTTAAACTTCCTCGTAAAATCTATCATCACATACAGAACAGGTGCGTTTGTGTGTACAGTCATTTTACTTCAATGATCGCAACGCTATTTACCCATGAGAGCAGTCCGGCAGCGATAGAGGCACCAAGGTAAAGAGTGTAAATTTATCGAAAAATGTCACAAAACTGCGCGAAGTAGAAAAGCGTTCGGTCACTTTCGCTCAAAAATTCCTTCGTCAGCTTTTGTCTTGTTTTTCAGTTTTTTGCGGCTATGTGTCAGTTGAACGTGACTTCGAAAGTCCATAAAAATACAGGGTGTTCCAAAAGGATGTTTACACTGTTTGATCGTTAGTATCTCTTTTCCCAAGAAGTCTTTTGCTTACCTTCAGGTACCATTTTGTAGAGGGGTGTTCAGCTTAGATTTACAGTATGGAGCGAATCAGCAGTCGCTCTTTATTACTGTAAAATTACGGTAAGAACTTTCAGCTTACAACATCACAGTGGATTAATCGTGTTTCTAAAAGTTTCCAAAAAATCTGAAAAACGGTCTACCAGGGTCTTCACGCGCCCTGAGTTCACTACTCACCTTTTTAGAGTCTACAAAGCTTTTCAAATGGTGTAATCACGATTTTAGGGAGCATTCTAAAAATAACTATTGCGGTTCACTTGGCATAACTTATGAACGAAGCATTGCGGTAAAGTGCAAACTTCATATTTGGTTTTATCGGCTCGAATTAGCCTTGTTAGTATAAAAGTTTTCAGGTTGTTTGTTATGCTTGAGGCGAAATAGGGCCCTTAATGGTTCTCAACTCTTCTTGAGGTTTCCACCGTAATCTTACAGTGATGAAGGGGATGGTGATTTGCTCCATACTGTAAATCTAAGTTGAAGCCAGCTCTACAAAGTGGTGCCCGGAGGTAGGCTAAAGTTCTTTTGGGAAAAGAGATACCAACGATCAAACAGTGTATACATACTTTTTGGACACCCCGTATTTTTGAAAAAGGCGCGCGCTCCTTATCGCCTTTGATGACACTATAGCGCTTAGGGCCCAATCTGACAACCGCTCATGAGTTGATGTTCGATGCTAGGGACGTGCTATCAGAGTTTACAATCCTGTACAAGTGACACTTCTTTTCGTAAAAACCCATCCAGTTGAGGAAATCGATTACTGTTGTGGAAAGTAAGAGGATTTGAAAGTAGCCTCCAGGCATCTGTTCTATCTTATTTTATGGAGGACTTGCACCGGCTTGTGAGGTTTTGCTCAGGGACCCATTACGAGGACGGTGGGTCCACACACGCAATAGCATGCAACTTGATGCAAGCCTCTACCAAATACGGTATCCGGGCCTGGTTTGGGTACAAATATCTCAGCAGCGAGAGAGCCATTTACTCTGCCCTCAAGCAAAGTCCGTATTATTAGGTTGTGAAGAAAGTTCCCGGGCACTTGCGAAAAATTTTTTCAAATCGCTGTAACTTCAAGCAGATTGATTCTTTTTTGAAGCTAACTTCATTGCAAAGACAAATTTGTCAACAACATATATTTGTCTTGCTGGCTTCTCAGCACCTCACTGCGGTCCACCAGCATGCGCAGAGGGGAAAAGGTCGTCGAGAAAAGTGGCCTGTTTGTGCAGGATCATCTCAGGCATGATGAGAGCTGGAGAGCCCAGATGCTGTAATTATATAGAGGTCTGCTGGGGCTGTTATGTGAACCATTCATGTTTTTGAGGGACCACCTGCAAAAGAATTTCCCCAGAAAGTTTGAAAAATCGACCACTTTTTGCCCCTAATAATGCACCATTTTTCGAGTAAGTGATTTTGAAGTTTTGTCGTTCCGCATAGAGTGGACCAAATCTTTGATTACTGCGAACATTGTTGGGGTAATGCCTTACACATCTTTTGGACCCATCATCCAGGCGTGGCGATCCCCGCAGAAGCGACTCCAGCTGCGAAGAGAGTTGCAGTCAGAGGCAAGTTTGGCAGCTTGTAATTTCTCGAGTACACCGGCGGGTCAGAAGTTAACAGGCTTCTCAATCAACACCCATGATTTGGAAGAAATTCCTTGAATTGCACAGAAAAATGGCCGTCGGAAGAAAAACTTGAAATTTTTGTGGTTGGAAAGATTTCTCTTCTTAACGTGCAGATCAAACACGGCTTGGCATCGATAAAAATAAGAAGGTTTGTTGAATACTTCAGGTTTCTCTCTACCAAACAGTACAAAAAACTTGGTGTCAAAATCCGACCGAACGCCGAAAAAGTGCGTTTGAAAATGAAATTTCCAAGTGCCAGGACCTTTCTTACAACCTAAGGCTCCCGCCAGAGTGCCGAAGTTATGCCAGCGCTACGCCAGCATTTCGATCGATACACGTGTATTCCGTTGGGGACATCTACCTGCTGGGCTAGCCCCGCCCCAACGAAATACACGTGTATCGATCGAAATGCTGGCGTAGCGCTGGCATAACTTCAGCACTCTGGCGGGAGCCTAATAGTCTATATTAGTTACACTCCAAAAATTGGTATCCACTTGCAATCCCCGTCCGCATCTGCTCAGATAATCGCCGGGGGCAGGCGGTCCGCAAACTCGCGCTTTTCTGCAGGCGGTCAGCAGAATTTTGGGGCGTGATCAAATTTTCAGCGGGCGGCACTTCCTTTACGGTCGCATATTCTGCCAGCGGGCAGCAATACAACATTTTTTGCAAGCGCTCGGCAAATAATTTCTTTCAGCGAGCGCTGGTCAAACTTTCAGCAAGCGCTCGGACTCTTTTTAGGCATTTTCGGACGTACGTCGAGCGCAGGTAAGACTCTGTGTGGCAGAAATGTCACCGTTGGTTTAATTACTCAAGTTTGAGGTACTTTCTCCCAGCGGAAAGTACCTGGGGGTTGCGCGGTCCTCCACAAAGGACCGTGCGGCCCCCGAAATTTTTGCATATTCTCGCGGAAAGTCTGCGAGAATGCGGCCACTGCGCCGCAGCTAATCCATAAAGAAACCGCGATTGTTCTTCAAACATTCGTCTTTAATTTCGCCAACTTTCTTCCAAATTTCTGCAAGCGGGCGGCAAAAAATCAACGAACTATTTTTCCGGTGCGCGCTTGCTCAAAATTCGCATGGCCGCTTGCCCCCGGCGGTTATCTGAGTAGGTGGTAAGCGCCGCGTCGCGCGACGAAGTTAGGCGGAAAAGCGGCACTTGCCGCCTAACTTTGCCCGCCTAAATTTTTTTTATAAAAAAGACCTTATCTTGATCCAAAATTTATGAATTCTATATATAAGAGTACCATTCGACTCAGCTCGGCGAGGCGCATCTTTCAGTATACAGATGTGTCTAGTTGTGGGATATAGGCTTTTTTTTTCTTGGAATTTCAGTGTAAATGGATCATTCAGTGTGCTGATTCCAGAGGCTACCTACACATTCTGTTGAGCTCTGCAGAAATAGGGTGGGTATAGTTTAAGGGCTCATTCTGCACGGATATGTGTAACTGGGCTTTTCTCGGCGAAGTATGACGGGTCCCAAAATGCAGGAAGAGAAAGGGGAATGGTTGGAAATCGCATGAGAAGCACATATCGTGGAATGCTGCGCGTGCTGTGCAATGTACAATACCACCTACAGAACGGGAATTTCGCGAAATTCCAGAAATTTCGCGATTCCGGACTATCGCAAATTATGCAGCGCCATAACTTCCTTCGGGATGAATATATTCTAAATCCGAAAGCAGCATTGTGTTTAGCTCGTCAAGGCGAATCTTTCGACATACTTAATGTCATCTATATCTCGTTTCCATTTTTGTCGAATTTTTCTGAGGAGGTCCCTTCGCAAGTATGTAACGCAGCGCCTATCCAACATAAAAGTTTCCAGTAAGTACCATTCGATAGTGCTCTTCTTATACATTATAGTGCGCAAGAAACTGCCGCAGACTTCTTTCCAAAAGAGAAAGAAGCGTTGGTGAATTCTGGAAGAATCACTCGTTTCCAGATTCTACTCGCCGTAACTTTCTTTGGAGTGGAAATTTTCTGAATCCGAAAAAAGCAATGTGCTCAGCTCATCAAGTCGAATCTTTCGGTATGCAGAATGTCCTTGATATCTCGATTTCAGTATTCTTGAAACTTCCTGCGGACGTCTCTTCGCAAAGGTGTAATGCAGCGCGTATTTCCCCCAGTAGAATCATTCTATAATAAAGAATGGCAAGGTTTTGCACTTACATGTTGACAAGTTGCAGACTGAGGCGAGTGATTGCGGAGGGTGCGGAGGGTGCAGATTGTCTACAAGGCTAGCGTGTTTTCGTAGGGGTACAGGGGGTGGTAAATATCGTGTCTCCTCGAGGAAGGCGTCCAAAAGGGGTGCGGTTCTTAAGTGCAAAAAGGCTATAGTTGGGAAGGGGCCGACACTCTCGTAAGGTTGCTAACAGTACCCCCCCCCCCCCTCTTTCGCAACTTTCAACTCTCTGTTGTATGATTGATTGACTTCGTGTGCTATGGGTTATCGGTTGGTTCTTTGCCTTTACTTCGTGCCAGACTCTCTTTTATAGGGTTACTGGGTGGTTCTTACTTCGTCATGACTTCGTGTCAGTCTCTGTTCTGTATCGTAGTTATCATCATTGAGAATGATCACGACCATCTTATACATTCTGTAGTGATTCGTCAACGTTTTCCTTCCTGTTCATTGAAAATCAGTGATGACTGATGCACACCTTTGTTGTTTGTTTTTGTAGGTCTATAAGCGTCTCGTAGAGCAGTTCTTGCATGTCAGTCTGTGAGCTATCCATGGATCAGTTGTACCTCTCAATTATCTGTCTGTATAGGGTTCGTGGCATAGTTTTTGTGGAGTATAGGGCACTTCTTACAATAATCGTTTGTAGGGCGCTTCTTTTTCGGACATGGGCTTGTAGTTAGCCTCAAAGTATCTCTGCAAGCAACCCAACGGGCTTTTCACCCGTAGACAGCGATTATTAGGCGCAGTTCCTCCTCAGATATTGGTCTATTTGGGGCGTAAAATATCATCATAAAATATCATTCGTATTTTTTTCAAAGGTTTGTAGGGTGGTTTTCCTCTAATATAGTTCTCTAAGTGCCTCA